AAATGTTTATGTACGTAGAACTTAGTATTCATATTTCTTTGCATATATAAACTTGATTACTTGTTAAGCTAGAGGTATTTGCATTGAACTAAGTCAGTTTATTTTGGAGATTCTTCATTTACTTTTTTTTAATAAAAAAAATCTTATTTTGCAATGGATGGGAAGGTGTTCTTAGGTCGATACTTGATATGTGTGATTATAGTCTTGGGACAGCTACATGGATACAAAGGCTGTATCGAAAAAGAAAGGAAAGCTTTATTGGATCTCAAGGCATATCTGGCCTCACAGGGTTCTCAACCAGATACATACGACTATATTCTCAATACCTGGACCAATGACACAACAAGTGATTGCTGTACATGGCGAGATGTTAAGTGTAATCTTACAAGCGGGCGGATCAACGGGCTTGCCATCACTGAGACTACGTATTTCGAGGAGGCGTATCTCCTAAATCTTTCTGTATTGCATCCATTGGAAGAACTCCGTAGTCTTAACTTATCAGGGGGGCACACGAAGTTCGGTGGCTTGTTTGATAATGTTGAAGGTATTTACTTACCCAGGGTTTCCTTACGGTTATTCATCTGTCGTAACCTATTTGCACGTGCATTAAAACTATACTAGGTAGTAATCAACACATTGCGCGAAATGAGATTATTAATTTCATTATTTTTAAGATAAGAAAACATTAGATCTGTTTGATCTGGATATCGGTTGAGCTTTAGGTTGTTTTTTGGTTTTTAATCTACAAAATTCAATTATTATTATAAATCTATATTTATTTTGGTTTGTTCGATTAAAATGAGATTTTTGTTTTTTTCCGATGATAACCAAAAATTATTATTATTTGTTTGGTTTCAAGTTATATGAATTTTAGACAATCATGATGTCATAACAAATTTCATATTATAATTTTTAAATGCATGAAAAATCAAATCAAATCTAGATTGGAAAAAAGAAAGAAAAGAAAACTATTAAAATAAATTATTTCATTACAATTTGATCGATAGTGAAAAAAAACTTTTAAAAAATATTCTAACTTCCAAGAGAATTAGAATCTTCACTTATCGTGAATATTTAGTGATATAGGTGTTTACATCAATGTGCACATGTATATGTGTATAAAAGTATATATAAATGTGGTTCAAAATAACACATGACTTTTAAAATAAATTAAAATCAAATAAAAATAAAATAAACCTAAACATTAGTGAACTTTTTTTACAATTTTTTTATATGTAGAATCTTTGTATAACATGCGGAACCTTTGTATAACCAATGGAACCCTGCATATAATTTTTATATTAAAAACGTAAAACAGTACATAGTGAACATTTATATAAAATTTGGCTGAAAGACTCTGTACACGTGACACATCAATGTACTCATTCTCAGATCGAATCTTTGTGAAACTATCTGTGACAAATATATTGTGAATGTATTAATGTCAAAAATTTCTATTTTAATATAAAAGGGATTAACTGCTTGGAGTGGGTTATGTTACCATATCTGCTTAGCTAGATATTATCCTTTGCATTTAGAGAAAAGTATTTTTGTCTGCAGGTTATAAAAGCCTAAGTAAATTAAGAAACCTGGAGATTCTGGATTTCTCTTTAAATGCATTCAGTAACAGCATACTTCCCTTTCTTCATGCTGCTACATCGCTGACTACCCTGTATCTTCGGAAAAACAGGATGGATGGCCCTTTTCCTTTTAAAGGTATGTTGCTTCCTTTTGTAACTAGCTAGATATTTAGTATGACCAATTGTTTGATAATGTATGCTTTGCTAGATGATTCCCGATCATTCAATTTATATGTTGTTATAAACTTTGTACGTCTTACCTTCAGCTTGTGTCATTCTTGTATTTGATGGACTTCCTTTCAGAACTGAAAGATTTGAAAAACTTGGAATTGCTAGACCTGAGTAGTAACAGATTCAATGGCAAAATACCAGGACGAGGTATCTCAAAACTACAGCTTAATTTTGTTTGCGTCTTCCTTTAGATAACCATATTCGTGTGTAAAAAGGTTCTAACCTTGGAGTGGCTTTTCTTGTGGCAGAGTTATCTACCCTGGTTAATCTGAAAGCTTTGGATCTAAGTGGTAATCGGTTTTCTGGCTCAGAGGGATTGCAAGGCAAGTCTGCACCAATCTTTATAACCTTTTCATCCGGACTATAGTGTGGTCATGCCTAATAATGTATGTGAATGAAAGTCTTGCATTTAATTACTGTAGGGATTTGTGAATTGAAGAATATGCAAGAGCTGGATCTCAGTCGAAACAAACTGTCCGGTCAGTTTCCCTTATGTTTAACTAGCTTGTCTAGACTTAGAGTTCTTGATCTCTCATCAAACAATTTCACTGGGAAGCTACCATCTTCCCTCGGTAACCTTGAATCCCTTGAGTACTTCTCGCTGTCAGATAACGACTTTGAAGGATTATTCTCATTTAGTTTGCTTGCCAACCTCTCAAATCTTAAGGTGTTCAAACTTTATTCAAAATCCAACTCAATTCAAGTTGAATTGGGAAGTTCTTGGAAGCCAAAATTTAATATACGTGTTATTGTTCTACGATCATGCAAATTGGAGGAGGTTCCTCATTTTCTCCTACACCAGAAGGATCTGCGTCAAGTTGATCTCTCTGACAATAACATATCCGGAGATTTTCCTTCCTGGTTGTTGGTTAATAATACAAAACTTGAAATTTTGCTTTTACAGAACAACTCTTTTACAAGCTTCCAGCTACCAAAATCTGCTCATAATCTGCTTTTTCTGGATGTGTCGATGAATGACTTCAGACATAGCTTTCCGGATAACATTGGGTGGATACTTCCTCGAGTACGTTATATGAATCTAGCGAAAAATGGTTTTCAAGGAAATCTTCCGTCTTCTCTTGGTAACATGAACATGATTCAATTTCTGGATATATCACAGAATAGCTTTGAAGGAAATGTATCAAGAAGTTTTCTAATGGGTTGCCATTCTATAATAATCTTGAAACTTTCACATAACAAATTGAGTGGTGAGATTTTCCAAGAACCAACCAACCTTACTCTTATCTATGTGCTGTCTATGGATAACAATCAGTTTACATGATATATTGGACAAGGATTGAGTCCTTTGATATCCTTATCAATGCTTGACGTTTCAAACAACAACCTTACAGGTGTTATTCCAAGTTGGATTGGTGAATTTCAGTACTTAACTGTGCTACTTCTTTCAAACAACTCGTTGGAAGGTAAAATACCTATTTCCTTGTTCAACATATCTTATTTAGCAATATTGGATCTCTCTGCAAATAATCTGTATGGAGATATACCTCCACACATCAATTCTACAAGGCCGGCAGTGTTACTCGTGCAAGACAATAATTTATCAGGAGTTATTCCAGACACATTGTTAGGAAATGTGGCCATTCTTGATCTAAGAAATAACAAATTGTTTGGAAATATTCCAAACTTCAGGAACACTCAAACAATCAAAATTCTTCTTTTGCGGGGGAATAATTTAACAGGTCATATACCTAACCAGTTGTGTGGGCTAACCAATATCCACCTACTGGATCTTGCTAAGAACAGATTGAATGGATCCATACCTTCATGTCTTAGCAATATATCATTTGGTTTGGGGGAAGCAAATACAATTGATTCTTATGATATCGACTTTGCTTACGGTCCTGTTGATGTCTTCACTACTTTTAATCGGGATCAGGTCTTCAGCACCACTGAAAAAATTGGTAAATATTTCAACTCACAGCTTGTGCTAGATCCGTTTATTATGGACTACCTGGCAGGTGCCCAGACAAAAATTGAATTTGCAACAAAGCATCGATATGATGCCTACATGGGTGGAAATCTCCTAAACTTTTCTGGATTAGACCTCTCTGAAAATGAGCTGAGTGGTGAGATCCCTGTGGAGCTAGGAGGTCTTCTGAAACTACATGTTCTAAACCTATCGTACAACTATTTATCAGGCGTGATACCAGGAAGTTTATCAGATATGAAGAATGTGGAAAGCCTTGATCTTTCTTTCAATAGATTACAAGGAAAGATTCCACCACAACTAACAGATCTAAGCAGCCTAGCTGTGTTCAATGTCTCATACAACAACCTATCAGGAGTCATTCCACTGGGAAGACAGTTCAACACCTTCGACATGCGAAGTTACTTAGGTAATCCTCTTCTCTGCGGAGAGCCAACCAACATAACATGCAGTGGTAACAACTTTCAGGGACCCGACAATAAGGAAGTGAGAGCTGATGACTCCACAATAGACATGGTATCTTTCTACTGGAGTTGTACTGCAGCTTATGTGACGCTACTTATTGGAATACTCGCATCACTCACTTTTGATTCTTCTTGGAGCAGAGCTTGGTTCTATGTTGTTGATGCTTTCATCCACAAGGTGAGGAACTTTTGATGGTAAACTACATATTCGTGACAAACCTTTTCATCTGTTGTTGTTGTTTTACAAAACCAAAACACAGTTTGGTTCTTGTGTGTTGTCAAATCTATATTCAAATACTTGCAAGTATATGTGTTTTGAATTATGTATTTGGAGTCTCCGGTCTATGGACTGCACTTTTGTAAGACAATGTGTTAAAGGCTGAAACCTTCATAGACCCTGAAGATCATTTGTTTCGTTGATGCATTATAAATAATATCCTTTTTTGCCAGCTGTTTAATTAAGAAACTTTGTAGTAGTGTATTATTATACAGTATCAATCTAATTCCGACTTTGATTAGCGAATTGCCACCATGGCTGCCACCGTAATCTTCACCTCCGTTTCTCTGCTTCTTTCCTCCAAACTTAGTTGGCAGGACACAAGTATGTCAATATAATGTGAATGTTTCCACAGAGGAAGTTTGACTTTGTTTGTATATATATATTTTCTTATGCAACTTGGTATTTCCTATTCCTCTTTGTCACAAAGAGGTTGAATTCTTATAGGCATGGATACAATAGATCATAACTATTTTTTTTTCTTTTTGTTGCTCGACCAAATGGAGAGGAAGGTACTTTTGGGTCAAAAGCTGATTTTGGTGATATTACTGTTGGGGGAGTTACATGGATACAAAAGCTGTATTGAGAAAGAGAGGAAAGCTTTGTTGGATCTCAAGAAACATGTGGTCTCACAGAGTTTTACAAGGGACCCTGACTTTATTCTCACTGATTGGACTAATGACACAAAGAGCGATTGCTGCAGATGGAACGAAATTAAGTGCAGTCGTACAAGTGGGAGAGTGATCAACCTTTCAATTGGTTATATTTCGCGTCTTGAAGAGAACTCCCTCCTAAATCTTTCTTTGCTACATCCGTTTGAAGAGATTCAAAGCCTGGACTTATCCGGGGACTATGGGAGCGGATTCAGTGCCATGTTTGATGATGTGGAAGGTGCACAAAGATTCTAACCATTGTTTAGTTTTAATATTGTAGTCGCTCTTGGAACATTTTCCCCTACATTAGATATATAACTCTTTTAAGGAATCCATAACTTTTGCTTTTTGCGCTAATTCTTGAAAGTTGATAACATCTAAAAGTATTGTAGTTGCATGTATATTCCAAGTAGCAGACATAACACTGGAGTTGTTGAAATGATTAGTGTGGGTGATGCTTTATTTTGCAGGTTATGAAAGCCTAAGTAAATTAAAAAATCTGGAGATTTTGGATCTCTCTTCCAATAATTACAGCAACAGTATCTTTCCCTTTCTTAATGCTGCTACATCGATTAAAACTTTACTTCTTGGAGACAACACAATGTATGGTCCATTTCCTGTTAAAGGTGCGTTTGATTATATCTTTAACGAAGTCAACATCTAGCACATTCGAAACATTCCCTGTATTATTCTTATATTCTAATCTGTTACTGCCCCTTCCAGATTTTATAAACTTGACAAACTTGGAAGTGCTGGATTTAAGTGGAAATAGATTTAACAGCTCCGTATCAGTACAAGGTAGCCGTTTACACTAATTATGACAGTACATGGATACTTGTCTTTCTTTTCTAGATTAGAACTATTACAGATTTTCTTCGAAACAGCAGTATGTTGTATGTAATTGGTTATGTCAATATTTAGCTGTGTCTTGCTTTGACTTGTGGCAGATTCTCCTCACCTGATGAAACTCAAAGCTCTGGATCTAAGTGGCAATGAATTGTCTAATTCAATGGAATTGCAAGGTAAGTTTTCTCGATTATTTAATATTTAAAAAATCAAGGACAGAGTTGAATTAAAGTTTAATCTATAAACTTTCGCATCATAGGAATATGTAAACTGAAAAATTTGCAAGAACTCGATATCAGCCACAACGAACTTTCAGGCCAATTTCCTATATGTATAGCTAGTTTAACTGGACTTCGAGCTCTTGATCTATCATCTAACCAATTGACTGGGAAGGTACCATCCACTCTCGGTAATCTCAGAAGTATTGAGTACTTATCACTGGTTAATAACAACTTTGAAGGCCTCTTCTCATTCAATTCGCTCACCAACCTCTCAAGGCTCAAAGTAATCACACTTTGTTCAAAATCCAACTCACTGCAAGTGGAGTTGGGAAGTTCTTGGAAACCAAAATTTCAGTTGACTGTTGTCCAGCTAGGATCTTGCAATTTGGTGGAGGTTCCTCAGTTTTTTTTACACCAAAAAGATTTGCGTCATGTTGATCTTTCCAACAATAATATTTCTGGATTGTTTCCTTCTTGGCTGCTGGAGAACAATACCAAACTAGACGTTTTGGATCTACAAAGGAATTTGTTTACAAGCTTTCAGCTACCGAAGGCGTCTCATCATTTGATTTTCTTGGATGTGTCAGCAAATGAATTTAGTCAAATCTTTCCTCAGAACATTGGGTGGATACTTCCCCACTTACATCATATGAATCTATCGCAGAACAGTTTTTATGGAAATCTGCCATCTTCTCTGGGTAACATGGATAAGATGTACTTTCTTGATATATCTCATAATAGCTTCCATGGGGAACTACCGAGAAGTTTTGAAATGGGCTGTGTCTCTCTAAGATTTTTAAAGCTGTCCCATAACAAACTAAGTGGAGAAATTTTTGCAGGATCGCCTAACTTCACCAGTTTAGATGTATTGTTGATGGATAACAACCAATTTAGAGGAAATATCAGAGAAGGTTTGCGTGGTTTGCACTCATTGAGAGTGCTTGACATGTCCAACAACTATCTCACAGGTGTTATTCCAAGTTGGATTGGAGAGTTTCTAAGCTTGAATGCACTATTCATTTCAAACAATCTGTTGGAAGGTGAAATACCTGTTTCCGTGTTCAACATGCTTGAACTCGGGCCATTGGACCTCTCTGCAAACAATTTATCCGGCACCATACCTCCACGCCTCAAATCAATCTTTGATGTTGTGTTAAACGTGCAAGATAACAATTTGTTAGGGCCTATACCGGACACATTGCTGGAAAATGTTGCTGTGCTTGATCTGAGGAACAACAAGTTGTCTGGTAATATTCCAGAGTTTGTCCACACCCAAAACATCAGTATACTTCTTCTGAAAGGGAACAACTTAACAGGCCCAATTCCTCAAAAGTTGTGCGAGTTCAGTATCATCAGCCTCCTGGATCTTTCTAACAATAAACTGAATGGATCTATACCTTCATGTCTTAGCAAGACATCATTCGGTAAGGGAAAGGAATATAAGCCATATGGTTATGATTTTGACATTGGATTTGGTGATCTACGTCTTGAAGTGGACTCTGACTCAAATTATCCAAGAAGATACTACAACTCTGTGCTTGTGCTAGATTCTTTTAGTCTAGAATACACCACAGCCACCCAAACTAAAATAAAGTTTGCAGCAAAGCAACGCTACGACACCTATATGGGTGGAAGTCTAAAATATTTATTTGGGTTGGATCTCTCAGAAAATGAGTTAACTGGTGACATTCCGGAAGAGCTTGGAGATCTTTTGGAACTACATGCGCTGAATCTTTCGCGCAACGGCTTATCAGGTGCCCTGCCAGAAACTTTTTCCAGACTAGAGAACATGGAGAGCCTTGACCTTTCTTTCAACAGTTTACAAGGCGAAATCCCATCACAACTGACAGAGATGAGAAGTCTTGCTGTCTTTAATGTATCTTACAACGATCTATCCGGTGTCATTCCACAGGGAAAACAGTTTAACACCTTTGACGAAAGCAGCTACATTGGGAATCCTCATCTATGTGGAAAACCCACAGTTAGAAGTTGTAGTAGTATCAATGTTTCAGAAGCTGATGACGATGCAGTCTTCATGGAATCTTTCCGAATGAGTTTTATTGTAGGCTATGTGACCATAGTGCTGGTAATACTCGCTTCACTCTCTTGTGATTCTCCTTGGAGAAGAGCTTGGTTTAGTGTTGTCGATGCTTTTAACCGCATGATGAGAAGTTTGTCATCCTAAACTACATCGATTAAGATCAGTTATCTGTAAACTGGCCCAATGATGGTCTATTCATTATTGCGTCAATTCCATCGTCGTACTTTGCTGTGTGTGTGCCATGTTGCATGTTACAACCACATCAGATGTTTCTTGCATTCCTTTCACATCAAATATATCAAAGTTTCAATTGGAGATGTAATCACGTACTAGATCATGACCACACCCCCACGGATTTTATTTTTTGAATATATTATATATAATTTAGTTTTATATAATTTTAAATTTATCCAATTCCCTTTTATGTTTAAATAACAATATCAAAACTCTCTTTTGTATTAATAGTCAAGTAGTGTATTATGTAGAAGTAGCCGTGCAATGAAAACATTAATTATGTACGCTTGTTCAAAGTGTAAAATCAGATTCAAACTTAATTGTTTGTGTAAAAATAATTAGTTGAAAGTTTAGTTACTTTTGATGTTAATAATATATCCACAAGTTTTAAAATAAAATACAGTTTTAATGAAATATAATGTTAATTAAAATAAAATGGAATTGATCTGCGCTTGCAAAGCGCAAGAATAATTTATGATGAAAAATTTCACTTATAATTAACAAATATGTTGTTAATTTGAAAAACATTATGTATTTAAGTATTTGGCATTTAAATCAGTGTTTTTGAATTCGACACAAACCTGCAGTTTAACTAGTTAATCGAGTGATCCGATAATTCGATTTAGATTTTTTAAAATATCTATATTTGAAAATCACTAAACACCGTAACCAACCGATTGAAATGTTGGATAACCGATATGTAATATTTAAACCTGCCAAATTAAGTTCTATTTATTTTCTTATTTTATAAATTATTTCAATTTTAAAATTATTTAATTTATCTAATTAATAACTTGAAAGAAAATTGTTAAAATTATTTAGAAATTGAGAGCTAATATTTTGTATTATTTGGACAGAAAATTAATTATAGTGTTGTTTGAAAATATTGATTATAGTATACAAAAATGAATATATTATACAGAATCATGGATAGTAGTATAACGAAGGAATATTAATGATTTTATGTAAGTTTAACTATAATGTAGAAAGATGTATTTAATTTAAAAACTTACAAAATAAATATTAGGTCTAATATTTCGATCTTCTTACACGGAAATATAAGCATGCATGCCATTTTTTTTTTTTAAGAAAAGGCTATGATATAAGCAATGGCCATGCATTGCCTTCCACTTCACTGGCCTAAGCTTTGTAACAATCTCCGTCGGCGTGACACATATACTTAGGACCAGATACTTTATCCGTTGAGTTTGATTTAATTTATTATTCTTTTAATCTAATATATATGAAATTTTTTGAAAGATATAGTTCCACTAATTATCACTTTGTTTAATATTATGTAAAAATATTTTATTAAAAATAAACATATATAGTTTTTTCTATATTTATTTGTATTAAACAAGGTGAATGAGATATCTGTAAACTAGGAATCAAATCATAAATATCAAAAATTATGGCACTATTCAGTACGTAGTTTTTTTCCGGCTTTTATGTATAATCTTGTGAAGTAAGCAAGTACATTTGATCTGTAAGACTCCACTCTGGTATTTCAAGCCTTTGCATAAGGGAAGACTAATGAAGCAATTTGACCCAAGAGCTGTCGTGGAGACTTGGAGTTGGTGAAGAGTCCACCAACTCCAATCTCATTGATCCCAGTACTCGTATTCCTTTTATGGATCTTGGCTGAAGTTTAAGTGTAAGAACTCGTGTTCATTCCTATACGTGTATGGATGCACCTGATGAGTTTTACAGCGCCAAGAGCATGTTCAAGAAGATATGTACACGAGTGAAGATGGACTGAGTTAACAACAGTCTTTTTAACAAATTCTTGAGCAAGGTAAGCAAGGCGCCAAAGTGGAGGTAACTATGAGACGGAAGTGAAGCTTTCCAGTAATCCCTGAGGAGAGAACACTTGCTGTGATACCACATGACATGAGACACCTCAAGTAGGGGCAACGAGAGATTCGGAAAGAGATGTTTAAGAAACGCAGAAAGAGAAACAAAGAGAAAGCGCTGAGGTTGAGGAGAGGAGCGGACAGCGTCTAGAAACGGAGACAGTAAAGACGCCTAGATTGCTGTGTCCTAGAGAAAAGCTAGGGCAAACTGAACTTTCGTTTTCTTTTTCCTTGTTACTATTTCTTGTAGTATAGTTTATGATTTCTTTTTTCCATATGTGAGGAATGAGCCTGAATAACATTCATCTATCTATTGAAACAATTTGAAATATATGATATCATGTATTTTTTTCCTTTTTGTTCATTTTGTTCTCCTTCCCATCGCACTTGAACATACAATACAAAATTAGTAAGTTGTACTTTTTAGGATGAGGAAGTTTTCGTCCCCAATTCATATATTTAAAAATTCGTTGAAGTTGATAATGCTACGCACGCCACACATTGTCATCTGATATGGGTATTATTTATCCACAATTTGGCTTTGTAAATATATATTCTTTTGCAACTTGGTTTCAAACAGCAGGTTTAATGCTTCTAACCATGGATATATTTGGGCAACAGTCCAAACTTTTTAAGTTTTTGATTATGTGCTTTTTTTGACACAAACCAATGGAAAGGAAGGTGCTTTTGAGTCAAACCCTGATTTGTGTGATATTACTGTTGGGACAGCTACATGGATACAAAAGCTGTATTCAAAAAGAAAGGAAAGCTTTGTTAGATCTCAAGCAATACCTGATCTCAATTAGTGATGAAGGGGCCCTCGACAATGTTCTCCCTACTTGGACCAATGATGCAAAGAGCGATTGCTGCCAGTGGCGCGGCATTAATTGCAATCCCACAGGCGGGCGGGTTATTGGAATGTCCATTCTTGAGACGAACTTCAGAGAGTGGTCTCCTTTAAATCTTTCTTTGTTGCATCCTTTTGAAGATGTTCGAGTTCTGAACTTTTCAGGGAGATCCAACCAATTCAATGGTTTGTTTGATGATGTTGAAGGTATATCGGGCTTTTCACCTGTTTGTTTTTTTTTCCCTGCGTGTTAGTTTATCCTTGTCTTCTTTATTTGGAAACATTTTCCCCTGGAAATTAAAATTCTGGAAGCTCTATAGCTTACTTCTCTCCGTTTCATATTAAGTTTCGATGTAGAGAATTTTTTTTGTTATAAAATAAGTATCATTTTCGGTTTTCAATACAAAGTTTATTAACATTATCTTGCAGTTTATTTTTTTTTTGGTTGAAATATGGATAAATGTATAGATAAGTGTATTTTATATATAAAATATACAAAATTAATTGTTTTTTAAATTTGTGTACACAAATCTAAAATGACATTTATGATGAAACAGAACAAGAAGAAGTATTTATTTGTTCTAGTTCTAAGAAGTCAATGCCATTTAAAACTACGGTTAATAAGATTTTTTCCCCATGCATCAAAAAAGATATACTCCCTCCATTTCATTTTAGTTGTTATTCTAGGTTTTTGCACACAGATTAAGGAAACATTTAATTTACATATTTTCAAGATAAAAACACAATTACCTATACACGTAACCACTTTTCAACCAATAGAAAAATAAAATATCATATAAAGTTAATAAATTTTTCCTCGAAACTCTAAAATGACACTTATTTTAAAACAATTTTTTTTCTAGAATGACAATTAATTCGAAACGGAGGGAGTAGTACCTTTTCTGTATTAACTAATCTGTTGATGTGCAGCATCTTTCCAAAAGTAGAAATATTTTTACTCTCTTAATTCCAATTGGATTGTATGTAGAGTAAACTAAAAGTTAGAGTACTTTTGTACATGTTGTTAACAAGACTCTCGTTTGCAGGTTATAACAGCCTCAGAATATTAAGAAAGCTAGAGATTCTGGATCTCTCCACAAATAGTTTCAACAAGAGCATATTTCCCTTTCTCAACGCTGCTACATCTCTTACAACCCTTGTTATTAAGAATAACTACATGGGTGGCTCTTTGCCAGTTAAAGGTGTGTGTGTTTCTGTTTGTAACGAGTTGCTTATTGCAGTCTGCCATTTTCTGTGTCTTAATTACAGTTCTTATCATTCCTTTTTTTTTTTTTAGTTCTTACCATTCTTATATTCTTTTGGACTCCCTTTCAGAATTAAAAGACTTGAAAAACTTGGAACTGCTTGATCTGAGTGGAAATATGTTTAATGGCTCCATTGCAGGTAGCATCTACGTCAATTTTCTTCAAAGTAGAACGTTAGCAGATCTATCTTGATGCATAATTGTGAATTGGTTCAAGCCATCTCAAAGATTATCCTATCCATATTAATATAATAGTTGTCTTGCTTTGTGTCTCTTTTTCCAGTGGCAGAGTTTGCTCGCATGAAAAAACTGAAAGCTCTGGATCTAAGTATCAATCGTTTTTCTAGCTCAATGGATTTGCAAGGCAAGCATGTTTCCTTCTAACCTTTTTTCATTAGGGATGGAGATGAATAGCTTATTTATCAATACCATTAAAACATGATAATTCCTTTTAATAAATGGTTTATGTTTTTCTAAATTATCTTTAATTTTATGAATAAATTTAATTTTTTATTAATGGCATTTTAGTTTTTTTTTAACTTGGGCCTAAAAATTATATAATAATGAGTTTCATTAATGGACTGATTCTCTTTCAAATTTTATAAAAAAAATCTTACAAAAATATTTTTTCTTTGCGGGTTATACGGGCCAAATTTTTCAGTCGAAAAAATGACTTAACCTGCTACGGAGCAGGTTGGACGGGGCGGGTCGGACTGAGCGATTGAAATTTTGTAACTAAATGATTTTACAAATTAATCACAAAACTAAAAAAAATTAGACCATTTAATTGTTAAATATAAAATCTTTCTCAAGTACACATTTCAGGTACGACCATTGTTAACTTATTTAGAAACATAAAAATTTTCTAAGACATTATAAAATAAAATTTCTTATACCCGCATAATAACTTGATCTTGATTTTGTGACATTTTATATCATCAAAGTA